ATCTATCACGATCAAGTTGAGAGAATCGTAAGAATCGTACAAAGAACTTGTCGCGTTATTACTTAGCAAATCTGGGTAGTGAAATCGTACATTAAGTTTTAATACAATTTATTTCTTTTCTAAGTGTTAAAAGAGTTTTCTAGTCACCGATCCTGTACAAATCCTGCGGTTTTTGTTAGTGAAAAAGCGCCCCGACATCTTGGACAAAAGTGGTAGAGCGGATTTTAAACGTCACTAACTCATTTTTATGTTACACAATCGTAAAATACGCTTTAGTTCAATGGGTTTCTTTTCTGAGTGGTATCGTTTATTTATTCCTTAATCCGGTGTGAATTTTTCCGATTTTAGTCTTCGAAAAAGCGCCCCACCCCCTCCCCATCTACGAAAGCTGGAAAGCGGTTTTTCCGGTCACTGTTTCTTAAAGATATGTTTTACAGTTACACAATCAAGGTAGAAAACAGTTAAACCAGTATGCAAAGGCTCTCAGTGGTTATATTTCTTTACTTTGTTTATAATTCAAAACTGCAGCTTAAAATGTGCTTTTAATTTATTTTTTCTACCCCTTTTGGCGCCCCCCTAGGGTCGGCGCCCGGGGCGGCCGCCCTCCCCGCCCTCCCTTAGCTACGTCTCTGTAAATGACAGGAGCCCATTTGACGGGAGCTAATATGTCAGGGCCTTTTTGACGGGGATATATTGACAGGGTCATTTTGTCACGGGTCGTTTTGACGGTAACCTCAATACGTTCAGTACAGTGACCCTAGAAAATAACACTTGTGACAGGTTGTGAGGCACCTTGGCCAACAAGTTCTGCTCAAACTTCTCACACTGTATGTGCCGTATGCACACTTGAAGGGGACGGTCTCACATACGTTTACCGTAATACATACATACATACATATATATATATATATATATATATATATATATATATATATATATATATATGTATATATATATATATGTATGTATGTATGTATGTATGTATGTATGTATGTATATATGTATGTATGTATATTAGAATATGAATAACCTTCCACGCCCCCACTCCTTTACCACCACCCACTCCGCACTGTTTTACATTTGTAATTACATGAGTAAATTACACCCCCTGTTACATCACAAATTTCACCATACATATGTCTGTAAAGTTGAGGAAAGAAATCTATGGCCATATCGCGGTCTACAGAGTAACCAAGACAATAGATGTATCTTTGTATTTCTAGAAGAAATTGGTTTCTTTTTGATGCCAGACACAATTAGAAAGTTTCGACACAAACTTAGCTCTAGGCGGCGTCTTGATAAAGATCGTTTACGTTGGCCAGCTATTGAACTATGTTTGACTAGATGTATCAAGGACCAGTTGGCCAGTTATATCAAAAACAATTTGATCAGCTATATCAAGAAACACTTGACTAGCTTTATCAAGAAACAGTTGGCCAGCTATATTAAAAAAAAAACGTTGGACAAGCTCTTCATTTTTTCAAGGGTCATAACTCTAGTAACTTAATTCGGGGCACATAACTCTCCTAACAAATTGGAGTTGTTTGTTTTTGTAAGGGGAGGTGGAAATACGTGTAGAACTAACAAAAACATTAATACTTTTATCTTCAGACTTAAAATATTTATTAAGAGACGAATTTGGCATCAAACCTAAGACATTCACTGCTATATAAAATGGAATATTTAAAAACATAACCCGACGATAGAGAAAAAACTCACCGAAAGAAAATACGCGGCCAAATCCAGACAACAAGGAAGAAAATCTGTTTTTTTAAAACTGTTTTTTGGACGGAGAAATAAATCCTAGGATTAGCTGGATTAAGATCAGCCGCGTAACGTTTGAAAACAAAAGCCGGAATTCGGTGTTGCCTTAAAAATATCTGAACGGATTTCACAACGGAGTTTTTTTTTTTTGTTTTTTTTTTACAGTCAATTTTGCTGGTGCAGGGAGGGTTCACGTCTTCAACTAAGTCAGGGAACTAGTTTAGTTGTTGGGTTGTTGCAAGTCAATAGTTAAGTTGTGTGGTTGTTGTAGGTCAATAGTTCAGTTGTGTGGTTGTTGTAGGTCAATAGTTCAGTTGTGTGGTTGTTGTAGGTCAATAGTTCAGTTGTGTGGTTGTTGTAGGTCAATAGTTCAGTTGTGTGGTTGTTGTAGGTCAATAGTTCAGTTGTGTGGTTGTTGTAGGTCAATCGTTCAGTTGTGTGGTTGTTGTAGGTCAATAGTTCAGTTGTGTGGTTGTTGTAGGTCAATAGTTCAGTTGTGTGGTTGTTGTACGACTTCAGTTGGGTACTGTGGTAGTTGGGTTGTTGTAAGTCAATTGTTATCAAGTGGTTGTTGGGTTGTTGCACGCCTCCACCATAGTACTGTGGTTGATGGGATGTTGCAAGTCTTCAGTTTTGTCGTAGATTGTTGCAAGTCATTAGATTAGTCGTGTTGTTGTTATTTAGCTGCAGCTAACACTGCAGCCATAACAACAAATCTACCGCGCTAACCTTCAGTTTGACACAGAAAACAAAGCAAATCAATTCACAGTTCAACTTCGTCCATTGTTATCATGCTGCTCTGAGCCGCTCCCTAGTGGATTGTGGGGGGAGGGGCCGGGGTTGGGAGTGTCTATCTGTTTAGTTCAACATCAATAACGAAAGTTTGATCTGAATGGCCCCAGTCCTTGAAGGCCGTTTCCCTGGAGACGTCAGACAGTACGGGGTAAATAGTAGCCTCAGTTTTTGGGTAAATAGTAGCCTCAGTTTTTGGGTAAATAGTAGCCTCAGTTTTTAGGTAAATAGTAGCCTCAGTTTTTGGGTAAATAGTAGCCTCAGTTTTTGGGTAAATAGTAGCCTCAGTTTTTGGGTAAATAGTAGCCTCAGTTTTTGGGTAAATAGTAGCCTCAGTTTTTAGGTAAATAGTAGCCTCAGTTTTTGGGTAAATAGTAGCCTCAGTTTTTGGGTAAATAGTAGCCTCAGTTTTTGGGTAAATAGTAGCCTCAGTTTTTGGGTAAATAGTAGCCTCAGTTTTTGGGTAAATAGTAGCCTCAGTTTTTGGGTAAATAGTAGCCTCAGTTTTTGGGTAAATAGTAGCCTCAGTTTTTGGGTAAATAGTAGCCTCAGTTTTTGGGTAAATAGTAGCCTCAGTTTTTGGGTAAATAGTAGCCTCAGTTTTTGGGAGCGAGACAAAGGGTATCTGACGTCATTCGGGACGGCCTTGTCCAATCAGACTTACACACGTATGTAGATTTGGTCCGTGACTGTTGTATCTGGAGATTTACAAGATGGCACACTGGCCTCATTTTGGGAGGACATTCACAAGGTGGCCGGTTGGTCTAATTTATAGGAAGGGGACGGGACTTCACGAGATGGTCTGTTGGTCTAGAGATATTCCCAAGATGGCCTCTGGCCTATACAGTGGAGATATTCACAAGATGGCCTGTTGGCCTAATTTAGACAAGACATTCACAAGATGGCCCGTTGGCCTAATTTAGGCAAGACACTCAAAAAATGGCCTGTTCGACTCATTAGCGACTGGTGTGAACACTATTTCAAGTCCTGCGTATTACATTTTAGCTTTTGTTCTTTTGTAAATTATTGCAATGAGAAATCTGCCTCATGGCAACTTCTTTTAAACATCTTCAAATATTTTATTTTGAAAAAGTCTAAAACTATTTATAATCATGGGTTTTTTTTAATTATTCTTTCTTCAATTCCAAAACTATCTTCAAACTGTGTCTCTCTTTCCCCCTTCCTCCTGCTCTCTCTCTCTCTCTCCCTATCTCTCAACCTCCCTGTCTCTCTCTCCACTGATCTCGCCCTCTCTCTGTCTCCCCCCCCCCCCCCCCCCACACGTCTCTCTCTGAGTTTTCTAGGAACCAAAGAATACGTTCAATAAAACGAAACAAGAAGCGGGTGTTAAACTTGATGCAAAAAAATGATCCCGCACCGAAATCAAATCTCGTGGGCTATAAATAGAAATAAATGTCATGTGAGATTAGAGTCAAAGGTCACGAGCTATTCCTCTTTTATTCGACCACTTTTTGTCTGTCTGTGAAGTGATAGATCTAGTAGAAAACTCTCACGTTGTAGTTCCAAGCCTCCTAATATATTTTTTCTCTGCTTGAAAAAGTGCTTGAAGACGTTAGATGCGTGGAATTGGTCACGTGTTTATTACATACCGGCAGGTGTACTACAAGAAGGATAGTTATTTATAGAAGTGGCGGACACAGAGACGTACAGATGTACAGGAACTTTTGTCCTCCATAAGCAAGGGATGAAAAGACAAGCTCACTAGATGGTCGAACCGCTTGACCATCACGTGTTAGTCAGTGTTTCTTCCAGACTTTTTTCTCCGGGCGTGGCACTTGAAATTTTCGGGGGGGGGGGGGGAGGGGGGGCGGTAGACTTTCTTCGGGGGGGGGGCGGACACTGTTAAAAGTATAAATTTCCTATAGAAATTTCATTTCGTTCGGGTGTTAGTGCTGCGATTTAAGAATTTAAGACACGTATGGCTTAAGAAAATCTCAGGCTGGTAATAGGAATGTCCCTCATTTAATACGATTTTAGAGGAATATTTTTGGAAAGTATTTAAGATTGGTGTTCCCAAGGCTTAGGGATAAAATTAAGTTTGTTCTGTAAGTGTATACAACGTGCTTAGAGGAACATCAGTCAGTTGGTGGAACTTAATTTTTATTTTTAATTAATGGATATTAATAAAAACATAAAATATGTTTGCTGGGTACTGAAGGAAAAGATGATTTAAAACAAAACCTTTCTTGGTGTCAACTTTTGTAGCGTAAAGAATGTGACGAGGATCTTGGTTTCTAAGATTTGGAATTTAATTAAAAAATTAATAAACCCATTAGAATTCTGGTCGCAACATCATGTGTCTGATAGATGGAAGTTGTAGGTTACACTGTTAAATAGCAGCCGGTTGTGTTCCAAAATAAGAAGAGGGGTTACAAGCAGGCAATTTTAGTGAAATAGCAATCAATACATAATTTATTATTACAATGGCAAAGGTAGACACAGGTACAGAACATAGTTCTAGAAATGACAGTCGTTTTATCCAGGTGGTATCCGAACCAATACAAAGAGATGGAACTACACGAAAACTTTTTAGCGATTTTGTTGCAAGTTTTGTGTCAAGGTTTCAGGAACATCCACAGCAAGTTCGTGGTACTTTTTATCCTATAACTAAGAGAGGGAATTACGAGAACGTCTCTGCTAGTTTGTACGCACTATAGAAATATCTTCATGGGGGTTTTAGAAATTTTGTCTAGATGCTAGAAGATAGTTCAGGAACATTTAAGGTGCCTTAAACGATTCCAAAATATAACTTGAATAACTCCAGGAAGTTATGAGGGCTTCAATCCCCTACAAGTAACGGGTTAAACTACTGTAACATCAGTAGTTGTTTTTTTTTAAATTTGTGCCGCCAACATGTATTGGGCAAAATATATCAGCCCCGACAGCAGAGTTTCTCTCAGGCATATTTTCGGGGCGGGGTTTACTGTAGCTGTCGCCCCCGCGGACGAAATTTTAAAAAAATAAGACAATTTATTTGGAGAATGTAACCACTGTTCTAAACACCCCCCCCCCCCCCTCTCCCCCTCAACGGAAGTGCAGCTACGGAGAAAAATTTCTGAGATAGAAACTGCGCACAACAAGCGTGCTAATTAGTCGCTCCATAACTTGTGTCACAAACTTGTTCTGGACAAATGTTGCACCCGCAACAAGCGTGGTCATTAGTCTCTCTGTGTGAGTGGCAGATGTTGTACGCACGAACTACTTGTACTGGGGGAGGGGGGAGGATATAATTTGTTGTTTTTCCACCGGTCATAATGTAATATTCTGCGACTGAGATATTGGAACTGTGAAAGTAATAACCACATCGCTTTAATATCACATTTTCTTGGTCCGGAAAAATACTGAAGGGTTTCCAGAAATATCTAAAAGATTAACATCACTTCCGTCTATGTGCGAATGTTGTATAAATAGACATGCATACTAATTTATTATGTATTTGTGTATGTATGTGAATGTAAATGTTCTCTGGCTTCACATGGCCCCAATTTATCAGCCCACTTCCTGAAGTTGCATTGAGTCATTGAGTCATTGAGTCATTGAGTCTTTCTAGTAGAGCTCTCCAGCTGATGGATTACGAAAATGGACATATTAGATCCACTCGTCTCTACGTGGGGGTTAAAAAAATGACGGGAAATTTCCAGAGATATTAAGCACCGGATTCCGTTTGACAGCCGACAAGGCAAGCGTAGAATGTAATAAATAAACCGGTAGTGATCTCCCCTAAACTTTCTCGAATATTCTTATATAAAACAACAGGGGATGGTAACTGGGGATATAGTTATGATTTTTAATCCATTTTAAATACTTAAACTTTTAAAAATAGAATAGAATCTCATAAAAAAAACATTGCGCACCAAGCAAACGCCGAATAAAAACGCGTATAATAGTGCGCAATATTATTAGTACTTTAAAAATTTACATTAGTTTTTTGAGAAATCGGAAGTAGCGTAAATTACTACTTCCAGTCAACGGAAATTACTCAAAATTTAACAGAAGGTAGAGAATTAGATCTTTTACTTACATGTGAAATTTCATTTATCTATCTGAAATAGTACTCAAGTTATAGGCTTTTGAAAAATTCAAAGTAGGAAAAGTACCACTTCCGGTTATCGGAAATCGCTCAAAAGTTGATACGGATCTACGATTTTGATAAAATACTTATATATGAAATTTTATCAACCTAGCTGTAACGGTACTCAAGTTATCGTGTTTACACACGGACAGACACACAGACACACACACACACAGACATACGGACAAGATTGCAAAATTATGTTTTTCCGTATCAGTGAGGTGTAAAACGTCGAGATTTGTAAAAATCTCGATTTTTTTTTTTTTGCACGATTACAATACTTTCTCTATACTACGTATATACGAGAAAGTAAAAATAACCAAGTATGGACGCCTGGACTGCTTAAACTGGTCGAGATGTTGGAGTAAAAAACTGCACTGCAAACCCCCTGCACTGGCAACCCCCCTGCACTGGCAACCCCCCTGCACTGGCAACCCCCCTGCACTGGCAACCCCCCTGCACTGGCAACCCCCCTGCACTGGCAACCCCCCTGCACTGGCAACCCCCCTGCACTGGCAACCCCCCTGCACTGGCAACCCCCCTGCACTGGCAACCCCCCTGCACTGGCAACCCCCCTGCACTGGCAACCCCCCTGCACTGGCAACCCCCCTGCACTGGCAACCCCCCTGCACTGGCAACCCCCCTGCACTGGCAACCCCCCTGCACTGGCAACCCCCCTGCACTGGCAACCCCCCTGCACTGGCAACCCCCCTGCACTGGCAACCCCCCTGCACTGGCAACCCCCCTGCACTGGCAACCCCCCTGCACTGGCAACCCCCCTGCACTGGCAACCCCCCTGCACTGGCAACCCCCCTGCACTGGCAACCCCCCTGCACTGGCAACCCCCCTGCACTGGCAACCCCCCTGCACTGGCAACCCCCCTGCACTGGCAACCCCCCTGCACTGGCAACCCCCCTGCACTGGCAACCCCCCTGCACTGGCAACCCCCCTGCACTGGCAACCCCCCTGCACTGGCAACCCCCCTGCACTGGCAACCCCCCTGCACTGGCAACCCCCCTGCACTGGCAACCCCCCTGCACTGGCAACCCCCCTGCACTGGCAACCCCCCTGCACTGGCAACCCCCCTGCACTGGCAACCCCCCTGCACTGGCAACCCCCCTGCACTGGCAACTCCCCTGCACTGGCAACCCCCCTGCACTGGCAACCCCCCTGCACTGGCAACCCCCCTGCACTGGCAACCCACCTGCACTGGCAACCCCCCTGCACTGGCAACCCCCCTGCACTGGCAACCCCCCTGCACTGGCAACCCCCCTGCACTGACAACCCTTATAACCACCTACATTTAAATACAACCCTAACCCAATCCAATCATTATATTAAACCCCAACATGTATGTATTATGTTCCCCATTAGGATTCGAACCTAGACCACTGAGAAGTACTAGACCTAGTAAGCCAATACCCAGTCATCTCTGCTATCCTGCTACATACCAGATAGTAAAAATTTATCTTTATGAGTTTCTATATTGACGCAGAATCAATTTGCCTTTTTGTGCAGCTGATATGCATTATGTTCAATATTTAACTTATTGAATTGTAGCTAAATATGTCAACAGAAATACACAATAAATTAGGTAAATATTTTAACAAGTTTTAGCAATTCTTTTACTTATTTGATACTGATATTAACTGATATCCCCTAATCGAGAAAAATTGGATTTGTTTTTTGGCTTTAAGTAAACATTGAAGAAAATATTGAGACTTAATGCCAGAAGATATAATAGTCTGATAAGAGAATGTGTAATGATATTGGACAGGGCAGGTAAAATACAACATTAAATCATTTTCTTTTTTCCCCTAAATAGGTCTTCATGTACCAACTATTTATTCAATCATCCGGAATGGGAAACTTTTTTTTGTTCAATCAAATGTAAAAATAAAAAAGTTAAAAAAATCGAATGATCTGAATGTAATTAGTACTTTTAATTCAGGTCAGAATCTTTATAGACCCCAGCCTACTTCCTGCCAGTATCAACACCTGTATCAACATACCTGCCAGTATCAGCACTTATATACAACATTCCTGCCAGTATCAGCACCTGTATCAACATACCTGCCTGTATCAGCACTTATATACAACATTCCTGCCAGTATCAACATTCCTGCCAGTATCAACATTCCTGCCAGTATCAACACCTGTATCAACATTCCTGCCAGTATCAACAACTGTATCAACATACCTGCCTGTATCAGCACTTATATACAACATTCCTGCCAGTATCAACATTCCTGCCAGTATCAACATTCCTGCCAGTATCAACACCTGTATCAACATTCCTGCCAGTATCAACACCTGTATCAACATACCTGCCTGTATCAGCACTTATATACAACATTCCTGCCAGTATCAACACCTGTATCAACATACCTGCCTGTATCAGCACTTATATACAACATTCCTGCCAGTATCAGCACCTGTATCAACATACCTGCAAGTATCAGCACTTATATACAACATTCCTGCCAGTATCAACACCTGTATCAACATACCTGCCTGTATCAGCACTTATATACAACATTCCTGCCAGTATCAACACCTGTATCAACATACCTGCAAGTATCAGCACTTATATACAACATACCTGCCAGTATCAACATTCCTGCCAGTATCAACATTCCTGCCAGTATCAGCTCCTGTATCAACATACCTGCCAGTATCAGCACCTGTATCAATATTCCTGCCTGTATCAGCACTTATATCAACATTCCTGCCAGTATCAACACTTATATCAACATTCCTGCCAATATCAACACATATATCAACATTCCTGCCAGTATCAGAGATAAAGTGCGTCCTTCTAAAGAGAAACAGTGTGCATCTAAAGAATATTTATGTTTTATGAAAAGGTGTTTGATCAAAATTGTGTACTTCGGATGAGAAATTGTGTACTTTTTAATTCTGGTGAGAAATTGTGTACTTCTGAAGAGAAATGTGTACTTCTGATGAGAAATTGTGTACTTTTGGTAAGAAATTGTGTACTTCTGATGAGAAATTATGTACTTCTGATGAGAAATTGTGTAACTCAAATGTTAATAGGTTAGTTAAAATTACAACACGGTATCAGTATAAATTTGTCAGTGTCGATTTCATGTTAATTTCTTTACAAATTGGAAACTATTTTACAAGAACTTTTTTCCCCACATCGAGGTAAAACTTTTGGCTCAAAAGATTTTCTTGGTGAATATATGTAAAACAAACGCTTAGGCAAAATGAAGAACTGTCGACGTCTGTAAAAGACAACGAATCTCACAGCCTAGGGGCTAAATTCAAATCAAAGTAAATTTTTTAAGTCTATAAAATGGACATTGTTCATTATTTCAACGGAAAACTTTATTTTAAAGTTTTTAAAAGCAAAATAAAAAAAAATAATATACATTGTGATATTTTAAAAGATGTCAATTATTTAAATTTATTTTTTATATATTAATTTTTTTTTCGTCCTGTTACATTTTATTAGATAACTTAATAATTATGATAAACATGCTTATGATGTCCTCATCTTCACACCTATCCTACGTGTTGACTTCACCTGCTAACGATGTCTCCCAACCCCCCCCCCCCCCCCCCCCCCTCCACACGGCGCCCACAGAAAAGTGCGCGAGTTTTGTCAACACAACTGATTCATTGTTTTGTTTTCCTCTGGTCGGCTTTATTTATGTCTCCCCGCTGGGTCTGGGGGAATCTCCGTAAATACACCACCCTGTGGGGGATGCACTGCTACAAAGTTAATTACTCATGACGTAATCCTAATCCACTCCAGCAGGGATTAGACTAACCCCCCTCCCCCCTCTCCCTGCCTGTCATGAAATAAAAACAGCGACAGTAAAGCCTACGCAACAGAACTGTTCTGTAAACTGTCTCTATTGCTTGAAGCTAAAAGTGTTACTTATAAAACATAACCTCGTTTGTTTCAAGCTGATGAGGTTAAAAACTAATTGATCTCAATTTTATAATTTTAAATGAACGATAAATTAAACGAAAAGCTTTTTTTTTTCACTCCATGTTGGTCTATGATTGTGTTATTTTTAGCGATTCCCTGTTTTGACAGCGATTCTTTACTCTAAAGCACTCTAAAAAAAAATCAATTCGAAAAGAGTTTATGCGATAGAAACCAATTCATGAAACCTTTCGCATTCATTTGTCAGCTGCCATTTTTTTATTGAAGCTCTGCAGACACTTCCGGTGTGTGTCACTGTCTTTGTCTTGGAATATTGAGACTGTCTTTGTCTAGGAACTTGATAATGTCTTTGTCTTGGAATATTGAGACTGTCTTTGTCTAGGAACTTGATAATGTCTTTGTCTTGGAATATTGAGACTGTCTTTGTCTAGGAATATTGAGACTGTCTTTGTCTTGGAATATTGAGACTGTCTTTGTCTAGGAATATTGAGACTGTCTTTGTCTAGGAACTTGATAATGTCTTTGTCTTGGAATCTTCAGAATGTTTTTGTTTTCGAACTTAAGGCTGTCTTTGTTTTGGAATCTTCACTGTCTTGGAATCGTGAGACTGTCTTTGTCTTAAAATCGTGAGACTATCTTTGTCTTGGAATATTGAGACTGTCTTTGTCTTAAAATCGTGAGACTGTCTTTGTCTTGAAATAGTGAGACTGTCTTTGTCTTGGAACTTGAAATTGTCTTTGTCTTGGAATTCTCTCGATCACCGGTTATATCAAACACTTGCCAGAACAAGCCAGGTACAACAAAAAGAAGCCAAAAGATGGGGATGTTGTTTTTTTATTGTTGTTGTTTTTTTTATTGCCTCTGGGAAAATGTTTTTAAAATGTCGCCAATGTAAAACTTAATAGAAAAGCTTGTGGTTACACAGAAGTGTGGGAAGATGTTTTATTTAAACGAATCGTGAATGTCCTCTGAGAGCATAGACCACGTAAAAACAAGATATTTTATTTAAACGAACGTCGACTCACCCACAAGTAGAAGCCTGAAGCCGTCTCTGCAAAATCAAATTGCAACTATCTGCAACAGCGTTTCGACATACTAAACTATAATCATACATAAACCTAATCCAAGCAATATCAATAACCTAATTGCTTATTTCAGCTGTATCCTTTCGTTAAAAGCATACATCTCTTTATTAAAGCATCATAAGTAAAAAAAAAAATTAAAACAATGTTGTATAAGGAGATCAATGACAAACTTTAGTTTGATCTGGCAACTTGTTAAATAATGGGCTATTTTTTTTTTATTGTTTATCCGTAGGCTAATTTATTTTCGCCGTTAAAGTTGCCCAAGTTCACTTTTCTAGTGATGTCTAGTTAAACTTCCCTAGCTAAGACGCCCTGTCAACATGAAGTTCTACAATCTCCACTTAACGATTGTAATTGTTTTTTTTCCCAGCCTCTATATTTATTTTTCTCTTGTATTTTTTTAGTGCGTCTAATGCTGTAGACTTTTCCCTGCAAACAGCTAACATCCCATGCAGGGAATAAAACCAGCAAAAATGCCAAGAGGGAAGTTCAAATGCGCATGCGCACAGAATCAATGGCGGAAATGAATGGGCGTGAGATTTATGCCTGCTCGTGCAGATGTAGAATGTGTATGAATTCGTTGAAGAAATTTGGAGTGAATTGTAGCGGTGAAGAAAGGGGTGGAACGGAGGGGGGTAAATAAATATGTCAGGAGTATTTTTGTACGTCGAATATAAAAAAAAGTAAATGCTATTTGAAGAAGAGAAAACGTTAAGTGTAAGTTTGCATAAAAACAAGTAAACGCTATTTGAAAAAGAAAATGTGTAAGTTTGCATAATATGCAGTAAAAAATTTTGCTCTAGTTTTTTTTTTTTTTTGGGAATTCTGTCCAGTACCTAGGTCGGTGTGTTGTTGTTTTATTCTTCCTATGTGCCAGCATGTAGCTCAAGTATTTACACATTGAGTCACAGAGAATCTTTCTCGGAGAAGGGAGAAAAAAATCAAATTTGTGTCCTGTTTAGGCCGCCATCACGTCTAATGATGTCCGCAGGTGTTCCGGGGATGAACTGGGCCCAACTTCCGGTGGCTGGAATAATCCGATGGAGATTGTCCGGGAGTAATTGGAGCGAGGCATTTTTTGACGAGATGAATTTTTTTTTATTGTGTAATCCAGGACCTGGTTATGTAATAAACAGGACAGGGAGTTTCATACTGAGAGGGGTCATGAGGGGGGAACATAGAGAGGGGTCATGTGGAGATGTAGACCAATGAGAGGGGTCATGTGGAGACCAATGAGAGGGGTCATGTGGAGACCAATGAGAGGGGTCATGTGGAGACCAATGAGAGGGGTCATGTGGAGATGTTGGACCAATGAGAGGGGTCATGTGGAGATGTTGGACCAATGAGAGGGGTCATGTGGAGATGTTGGACCAATGAGAGGGGTCATGTGGAGATGTAGACCAATGAGAGGGGTCATGTGGAGACCAATGAGAGGGGTCATGTGGAGATGTTGGACCAATGAGAGGGGTCATGTGGAGATGTTGGACCAATGAGAGGGGTCATGTGGAGATGTAGACCAATGAGAGGGGTCATGTGGAGATGTAGACCAATGAGAGGGGTCATGTGTGTAGACCAATGGGAGGGGTCATGTGGAGACCAATGGGAGGGGTCATGTGAAGACCAATGGGAGGGGTCATGTGGAGACCAATGGGAGGGGTCATGTGGAGACCAATGGGAAGGGTCATATGGAGACCAATGGGAGGGGTCATGTGAAGACCAATGGGAGGGGTCATGTGTAGACCAATGGGAGGGGTCATGTGTAGACCAATGGGAGGGGTCATGTGTAGACCAATGAGAGGGGTCATGTGGAGATGTTGGACCAATGAGAGGGGTCATGTGGAGATGTTGGACCAATGAGAGGGGTCATGTGTAGACCAATGGGAGGGGTCATGTGTAGACCAATGGGAGGGGTCATGTGGAGATGTTGGACCAATGAGAGGGGTAATGTGGAGATGTTGACCAATGAGAGGGGTCATGTGTAGACCAATGAGAGGGGTCATGTGGAGAGACAAAATTAACCAGGTAAACAAAGATTGTAAAATATGATTACATTAAGTCTACACTCTACATTTTTATTAACCCTGGTCTACACAAAGAGAAAGTCGATAAATAGTCAAGGAGATTTCCCAGGTATAAAAAAATAAGAACAATCATCATAACTCTGTTAATGGGTTTATTTCACACTGTTGTAGGAAAAACTAACAAAAACAATCAGAGAATAAAATATTGCACTACAGGTCACCCCAACAGACACTCTAACAAGAATGTCTGGGGTGAAGACCAATTGGGAACAACATTACTAAAAATGTGTTGTTTTTTAAATCATCACAATTCATGTGTTCAAGTTCAGTATTTAAAAAAATTATTTTTATACAGGCAAGTAAATTGTTTTTAATTAAAAAAAAAAAATTAATTTTTGATGACTGTTGTTTTTAAATAAGATAGGGTCTTGTGGTAGCGTAAAAACAAAACAACAACTGTAAATGAAAATAGTTTTTAAACTTCCCTCTAGCCAGAAAATTCCAAGTTCATGACATTTACTGGTAATTCAATGACTCATGACATTTACTGGGTAAAATGACATTAGTGGTAACCTAACGACCCATGACATTACTGGAAACCTTACGACAGATTGGGATTAAAGTACAACTTCAAATTGAATATTTGACTAACTTGTTTAACCAAAAAAGTATCTCAAGAACCAACCACATTTTTGCTTTAAAGTACCGACCAAAATATTTTCTCTTCACCAAAATGACATTATTCAGGGTACACTACCCCTAATTGAAATACTCAACCCAGCAACTTAACTTAGGACTCCCATCTGCTGACCTCCCTTTGTGGTGGTACTAACAAACATGAGAAATGCCATTAGAAAATCAATATTTGATACCATTAAAGTAGCCAGACAAGACTGGATACACTGTGACCACTCCGGCTCACATTGCATTAAATCAGCTGGCAACACAGTCTAGTCACATTCAGGTTTTAATCTCCTACAGCCCCCTCCCTAGATTAACAAGCTGGTTCCAATAAAGCCCCCAATCACTGGGTAATTACACAGCTGAAATGGACTGACTAAATGACGTGCTTCAAATACTGGTTTGGTCTCCAATTAATGTGTAATTACTGAGTTAAAATAGACCGGGCAATGATGTGGATCATTAAAATTGACTAGATGATACACTGGTATAAACTGTTGGCTTCAACATTTCATTTAGAAAAAAATTTCTATATTAAAAAGTAATGGCTTTCTGCTGACTTCCTGGAAGTCAAGTTCAAAAATATACTTCACTAGACCAGCACAAAGTATGTTAGGTACACAAATTTCTCATCAATTATAATATTTTAGTTTAATACAAGCCTAACTTAGCTATAATTTTTGCACAACTCTTTGCCTTTCTGCACAAAATAAAATGGAGTCCACATAAATTATTTTTAAAATGTGTCAACATTATTATAAATGTACTTGCGTCAACTTAAACTAAATGTAAACTTTACACAATCACAATTTTACAAAAACCATGTTACATGTATCGGAAAAAAAAATGTATCACTTTTTGTACTGATTCAACAGTAACTATTGTAAATATTCTTAAGGCATGATAAAACATTAAGATTAGCTTTGTGGCAATTAAAAATAAGACTTGGAGAAATAAAATAATGCGTTTAATGAAAAACTACATCGGCTTGTTACTATCAGAAAACTATAATAATATAAAAGTAATCATCAGTTGTAACGCTATTAAATACATTTTCTCATAGGCGTTAATTAAATACATAAACTTACAGACACTAATTAAATACATAAATTGGTATCACAAGTGAGAGGTGGGATTATTTCTAATAAATAAATTACATAAAGTTAAAAAATTTGTAGAAATGCAAAAGTCTTGTACAAATATTCCAATTGTATAAGTAAATAGCTCCTCCATAGGTAAAGTTTTGATTGTAGACCATTTAATAAATAAGTGATTGGCCATCAATGTATAATATACATTACAAACATAGGACAAAAAATATTTTTTTTCTTCAGATCATTTTCACAATGCCATTTTAAAGATAGATATATGTTAGATTAAAAAAACTCAAATTTATGAGTGTCAGATGTTTCATCCGATGGAAAATATCCAAAGAAATGTTTGTTAAAAATTTAAAATGAACAAAAATTCATGTAGATTTTGATTTCATATCATATCTCAGGTCTGAGTGGACAAGACGAAACTGTTAGAACAAGCATCAGCGGACAAGAGGACATCAGTTAAACAACAGATCATTGTAGTTGGTCAGCAGGCCAACAATACTTGTGGTGTAGTTAGTGCATGTCCGCACAACTTTGACACGGTCAGCTCTCTCAAAGTTGGACTTGACCATCTCGTAATACTCCCCGTCACTCAGGGCAAAAGATTTGAGGCCAGGACAACGCAGCCTAGAAAAGGTGGATTGGAAGTTTTTTTTAGTTCAAATAGCACAATAGTGGGACAAGCTTGTGTGGATGGGGGGGACGTGTCTTCAAATTATCACAAATCTGGTGGTGTGGGGGTGTAGAGTAATAACTATTTTGAGCTATGTAGAGGAAGGAAGGTCTAAAGAAATGTGAGGCAGTATATATATTATGTATTTCTTTAATTATTGTGAAAAAATATGTTAATTTTAGTAAAAATATAAAAAATATAATTGTAGCTATTTTGGTGGAGGGCGGGGGGTGGTAAAGAAACTGACGTGATATTTTTTTATGAAAAGTGATGGAAAAATGTAGATTGGTGCTATTTTCTTTGACCCCCCCCCCCCCCCCTCCTCTGAGTGATGTTTAACCTTCATATTAACCCAGTACTGAAAGGGCTTTACCAGACACAGATCATAGTAGCAACAAATGTTTATATTAAATTTAAAGAGATGTCATCTGTAAAAAAAATGTCATACAGGACCAAATTAATATTTTTATTTGCAGCATTGATAATGATCTGGTTAACAAAATTGTTAACAGTGGAATCAACATTGTAGTTGAAGTTAGCCTCTCTGAGACCAGGTGAGCAATCCTTTTACAACAAGGGATGATGGTAGTAAGCAAAACAAAGTTTAGAAACTTCTTTCAATATTTTTAATTTTATAGGCCTACATGAGTCTAAAAGTGTCTAGAAGACTTACTTGACATGGTCTATGAACTTGTTACTGTGTCTAAAAGTGTCTAGAAAACCTACATGATGTATGTCTATGAATTTGTTACAAGTGTCTAGAAAACTAACCTGATGTGTCTATGAATTTGTTACTAGTGTCTAAAAGTGTCTAAAAAAACCTACCTGGTGATATGGTCTATGAACTTGTTGCTAGTGTCTAGAAGACTAACCTGATGTGGTCTATGAACTTGTTGCTAGTGTCTAGAAGAACTAACCTGATGTGGTCTATGAACTTGTTGCTCTTGTCACTGAACCTGATGGTGTCTGGGTCCCACAGCGTACAAGAAAACCTACCTGATGTGGTCTATGAACTTGTTGCAGTGTCTAAAAGTGTCTAGAAAACCTACCTGATGTGGTCTATGAACTTGTTGCAGTGTCTAAAAGTGTCTAGAAAACCTACCTGATGTGGTCTATGAACTTGTTGCTGTGTCTAAAAGTGTCTAGAAAACCTACCTGATGTGGTCTATGAACTTGTTGCTGTGTCTAAAAGTGTCTAGAAAACCTACCTGATGTGGTCTATGAACTTGTTGCTAGTGTCTAGAATAACTAAACTGATGTGGTCTATGAACTTGTTACTGTGTCTAGAAAACCTACCTGATGTGGTCTATGAACTTGTTGCTCTTGTCACTGAACCTGATGGTGTCTGGGTCCCACTGGATCCCACAGCGTACAAGAAAACCTACCTGATGTGGTCTATGAACCTACCTGATGTGGTCTATGAACTTGTTGCTCTTGTCACTGAACCTGATGGTGTCTGGGTCCCACTGGATCTCACAGCGTACAAGCCTTGGGCAGTGCTGAGCAAAAGCTTCCACAATCTGATCAACGTGCACACGAGAGGCAATTTTCAGGAACCAGCCATTTGCAGTACCCAGCACACAGATCCTGATATGGAAACAATACAATTTGCTGTTAAACACGTCAGAGTACACCAGAATAATTATGGTTACTTGGAACATGGAATCTCTACTAAAATAGTTTAGATAATTGTTTAAAAGGTTAATGAAATAAGTGTAGATAAAGCGTTATAAAGTACCCTTTTGAACCTTAATGTCCATGGGGGCAGGTGAAGTAGAGTTCATCTGTTTTATTTACTACAGCATGTGAAGGAATAGTGTGGTCAGCACTTTACCTTTACCTTCACTAACGTGAATCAGGTACCCCTTAAAACTGGGTGGACTCAGGGACGTCATATGAACTCGAGCCCCGCCTCTAACCTCGAGATTTTCGGGTTAGCAATCAAACAACAGTATTATAAGGGAAAAAAAACTAGAGTGTATACAGAGTTTGTCCTCACTTGATATTTTTGAGGTAGGGAATAGCATTGAGCCAGAAGTTTTCAGTCAGCTTTGGCTTGCCAGCCAGCATCAACCCCCGCAGGTTTTGTCCGTGGGTCTGGATAAACTGGTAGATGGCGTTCTCGCTCAGGGCGTGGGTGTGGCTGATGTCCAGAGCCTGGAGACGGTTGAACTTGCCCAGCTCCATCAACTTCTCTAAAATCTAAACACACAGAGAAATGCTTACATAAGGAGAGAAATGCTTACATAGGAGAGAAATGATTACATAGGAGAGAAATGATTACATGAGGAGAGAAATAAGTTTTTACTAGCACCATGTAATTAGCCAAACAAATAAGATCATTCTTAAATTTCCTTATCAGAACAAATAACCAGCAGGATATCATACAACTGTTTTGTGCACATTTTTTTTAATGTATTAACTGAATTAACGAAGGCTCAGATTGCATCTTTCTATGTCCCTACATTTTACTTATCAACATGATGCAGACCTTAATCTGATACTAATACAACCCCTAGCACAACAAAAAACTTCTACTTAAAACAAGTTAATTAAAAAAGTCTACTGACATTTATGCGCAATTTCCTTATGTTATCTAAAAATAGCTCTGACGTATAATGCTGGGGTGCGTTCATGCTAGAAGAACGATCGGTTTGTAGGTGTTTATGTAATTTTAAAATTTGTGACCGAACGAGAGGATATTTTTGAAAACTGTCTTCGGCAATATTGTTCTAAATTATGGCAGGAATCGATTGGTACATGTTTCAAGTCGCTAAGTGGTCTGGTTGCCAAGATATGGGCCAAAAACTGAATTTTTTCGAGGTTTTTTGGCTTTTCCGGGAAATACATGAAAGAAACCCGGAATTTTTATGGCCTATGCTCATTCTTGTAACTTGCTTAACATAATTGCTTTTGGAACTAGTCATCGATATTGCTTCGTTGAGGAGGAGATACGACTTAAAGCCCGGACACACATTCATCCATACATCCATACATTCATTCATTCATTCATCCATCCATTCCCAGAAATGACGATTTAATAAACGCAATTCTCCAGAATGGAAATTGCGCTAAAAATAACTACGCCACCAAAATTCCACCATGCAATCACCTGATTCATTCAATTGCATCTTAACAAGCCAAAAAAAAAAACACTAAAAAAAACCACTAAACCAAGCCAAAACCTTACATCAACCACAACTGTAATATTAAATTGAAAATAACAAATCCTAGTTGCAAACACACAACTTGTACAAAAAACAAAACATAAACAATCACTTAATCTAGCTTTAATACAACTTTCACTCCACAGACTGCACTCCACTCTCAACTTTAATCACAGCTAAGCTACATCACAGCATTCATCCATAACCTAACACTATCACAGTCATTGTATTTTATCCAATGTATTATTCATTATAATATAACAATGTTTGAAAGTTGCAGTTTTTTTCTGTTACATTTTTTTTGGCCTCATATAAACTCACAGTCCCTTTCTACATTAACTATAGTACATGACTTACAGTAAACACTGCACATATTTGTATAGAACAAATGAAAACCTGCTGACCTTGTCATTAAAAAACTCGCAATATCCCAAGGCCAAGTAAGTAAATCCTGGCATGCGGAGCAGGATGTTCTCTAGACATTGGGCTGACAGCTCTGTGGAGGTCAGGTCCAGCTCATGGATGGCAGAGGTTTCCCAGGGGACACTCATCATGTGGTCATCTTCAACACCTAGGTAACAGAAAGTAAACAGTCGAGGTCAGTCTGTGGTCATCTTCAACACCTGGGTAACAGAAAGTAAACAGTCGAGGTCAGTCTGTGGTCAGCTTCAACACCTGGGTAACAGAAAGTAAACAGTTGAGGTCAGCTTATACTGGAAAAGAGCACTCATTTCAACAATCTTCTCTGGAAGATGTAATCAAAAATATACATGTAGGTCTACTCTTCAGAGTTTAACTTTTCCAACTCAATTTTCTGTGCATATATATCATGGTCTAGGCTTTCTTTTAGACACTTCTAAATACATGTAACAAGTATATATTGATGTTATGTAGCAATCCAATTTTATGAATAAAAATAAATCAAGGCTGCACTATAGAATTAAGTCAGTTTTGAATATTTAATAGAAAAATCTGACTATCCCCGCATAAGTAAAATTTTGGAATAAAACTTTGCTCATTTAAATTTTTTTTTTTTTAAACACACAAAAATTTAAAATAATTTTAGATCATTAATTAAAAACTATAGCCACTGAAAGATACAACTTCATTTAGAATAACTCTTTTCAATCTATCAATATTCTTTATCCTGAGTACATTCCCTTTTTATTTTATGTTTATTTTGACCAGATGGCCTATAGTACATTTATTTTACCAAAAGATATAAATTTGATTGGTAATACTGAAATAATGTTTAAAATATTGTGCAGTTTAGTTTTAGAGTGATTTTTAACATTATTTGGTGCAAGTAGAGCTAAGAAAGATGGTTAATTTTAAAAATTAACAATTTAAACCAAATATAGATCTATCAAAACAATAAACCGGTAGTGATCTCCCCTAAACTTTCTCGAATATTCTTATATAAAACAACAGGGGATGGTAACTGGGGATATAGTTATGATTTTTAATCCATTGTAAATACTTAAACTTTTAAAAATAGAATAGAATCTCATAAAAAAAACATTGCGCACCAAGCAAACGCCGAATAAAAACGCGTATAATAGTGCGCAATATTATTAGTACTTTAAAAATTTACATTAGTTTTTTGAGAAATCGGAAGTAGCGTAAATTACTACTTCCAGTCAACGGAAATTACTCAAAATTTAACAGAAGGTAGAGAATTAGATCTTTTACTTACATGTGAAATTTCATTTATCTATCTGAAATAGTACTCAAGTTATAGGCTTTTGAAAAATTCAAAGTAGGAAAAGTACCACTTCCGGTTATCGGAAATCGCTCAAAAGTTGATACGGATCTACGATTTTGATAAAATACTTATATATGAAATTTCATCAACCTAGCTGTAACGGTACTCAAGTTATCGTGTTTACACACAGACACACACACGGACAGACACACACACACACAGACATACGGACAAGATTGCAAAATTATGTTTTTCCGTATCAGTGAGGTGTAAAACGTCGAGATTTGTAAAAATCTCGATTTTTTTTTTTGCACGATTACAATACTTTCTCTATACTACGTATATACGAGAAAGTAAAAATAAAACAAATATAAAAACCTTTATAATATAAAGCTTTTGAATACACTAAAAATAAGAAAATGTAACTAATTTGCTTTATTTAATAAAAGCTTTGGTCACCCTTACATATTTTAGTAACCAAAGCTTTTATAAAAGAAAGTAAGTTTATTTTATTTTCAGATTAAAAATAGATATCAATGCATTGTCATTTAGGAAAAATGTATCTCAGAAGTTAAAACAAAATTGCTGCATTAGAAGTGTGTAAAAATTAAGTTATAGATTTGCCACAAACCCACAAAAAGCAGACAAAAAGACATCGTGTGAACTAAGTAAAAGCTTGTCAAAACACGAACTACTCTTCATATTTACCAGCATGATGTAGCAGTAAAGACTTCAGCTTTTTACATCTCTGAATTAGATTTTTAAATGAACTGCCCTTGACTCTTAGACAAAAGTTCAAGGCCAGACACTCAATGTGAATGCAGTTAGAGGCCAACAACTCAATATGGCTGTCATCAAGAAAAGTGATTCCATAGAGGTTAACCACCTTCAGGTTAGGTGTGTGTGCCTTAATCTTGCTAATGTTGATGACCTCGTATATATCTTCTTCTGATTCTGAAGATAACTCAAATGTTCCTGAAAAAAGAGAAAACAAAGTATTAGAAGAAGTAGCTATCATGCCATGCTTAGCAGCTTTTGAGATATTCTGATGTTGTGCTTAAAGGAAAAGAAACATGAATTTAACTGTTGTTGATTACTTAAACTAAAAAAAAAATCAAGACTAATACAATGATCCAGGGGTCGGCGTGGTCGAGTCGGTAAAGCTCATGGTTGCTAAACCGAGTTCGAACCCTCGGGCAGATGTGGCTCGTTAGCTGGGAACAGCCACTCTTCTAGGAGAGACAACTCCAAAATTAAACGACTGCTGCCTTGTAGTTTGTTCTTGGTTGGACAAAGGCTATGGAAGCAAATCCAAAAAGAAAAGCAGGCTGAAATTGGAGTCAATGGCCTCAATGGCGCATAACCAGTTGACACGTACCGCTTAATTGTGTTGGAGGCATGGTCGAGTCGGCAAAAAGCTCATGGTTGATAAATTCGAACAAAGTCTCGAGTTCTAACCCACTGGCAGATAAATCTCGATCCCCTTCAACACTAATAATTAAGAACGAAGAAGAAGAAGAAGACAATGATCCAAGCTCAATGAGGACCATTGAAATTTCTATCTCTCTCAACAAGTTAGCTACAGACAATAGGGCTGGTAAGTAGGTCACCAACCAGTTCTATGGCTCATACAGGTTTTATTGAGCGTAGAACTGGTTGGTGACCTACTTACCAGCCCTATTACATGTAGCAACTTGACAATAAATCAGACATCAGATGGCCAGAAAAAAAATACCAACACCAAATTCAGGCGGATGATGCTGCCAGATTTTTTCAAGATAGGAACCAACAATTTAAAATTTGAAGTTATGCTACAAGGATATGGAGTGTTGAGTAGCCAAACAACATTAACCATGACTAAACATGCAGTGATAGTAAGGTTTCTAAAACAGATAATATTTTTACCAACTCCAACTTTACATAAATTAAGGATCTTACCAATTAAATGCAGCACTTCCAAAGAAGACAAACAGCTATAGATTCTGCGCATGAACCCTTCAAGAAAGATCACTTCCGAAAGACAAATACATAAGCTTCGAAGATTACAAGGAAAAGCATTCAGGTCATTGAAGTCATGGAGTTGCATGGCATTTGAAAAGTCCAAAGTCATATACCTGAAATACGTAAACAATTTTGTTATCAAAGTTATTATAATCAACATTTTAATATTTAATAAATTAAATAATATTTTACCAAAATTCAATCAGATATTAACACAAAAACAATACAAGTTCTTTTAATATAGAAACACAAACCTTAGCGCTGGGCATTTGTTAGCCAGTTCATGGAGCACAGGAGCTGTGATGAGATCGCTCGGTATCTCAATATAGCGCAAGGTTGAGCCAAAGCGGATCCCTATCAGTGCTTGCAAAACTTCAGGAGAGTACACATGCAGACCAGAGAATTCCGGTCGCAGAGAGACTTTTGTCCACAAGCGGCTGTCGTAGGCAAGAAGCCTCCATTTCCTACACACTCTGGCAACCTTCCCCAACTCTGAGTGACGCAGGAAGGTAAAAACATGCAGAAGTAGTTTATCAGGCACTTTGTCGATGGTTACGCTCTGAAACAGAAAATACATACAAAATCAGACAAGCAGTTTTTATTTTTTTAGATTGGTTATGCATACTATAGTATATTAAAATAATAAGGCCTGAGTGTCTTCTGTTAAAAGATTTCACTTCATGCTAGCTTAATTCCTACACAACTAAAAGTAAATAAAGTTAGGGATGGATCTTTAGTAAAAAGGTTAGGAATATGGTAATGAGAGGGTGAAAGCTGATAAGTTTTGAATAAATGTGTTGCGACCATTAAAACGCAAGGTTCACCTTGGCCATCAACCTGTAGGTCCACTAGTGAATGGATGCAGTTCCCATTAGGATATAAGGCGCTTCTCACATTATAGCTTATAATTATAAAGGAAATCACAATTACCTTTCATTCACAAACTAACGAAGTGTTGCATTATGATGAGTAATGTGGCTTTAGCAACGGGGCATTCAGGATGGAGATGCAGAATGGATGAGTTAGGGGAAATGGTAAAAAAATTTGACAGAGAGCAAGTGACTGGTGTTTGGGTGGGCAGGGTCTGATTGGGGAGGGGGAGGGGGGCAGGGTAGCGTGATTTTGTAGTATAGTTTTATAAACTTTCTAACCACAGACCATTACCCTTTCTGGTTATATATACAAAATAAGAAGACCATGAAACTTTTCACACTCATCATGGAGTGGACCCAGTGCATGCTTGGCTCAATGCTATCGATAGACGGGCATGCAACTTGTTATAATATAGGCCTATTTTTAGGTCTTCAAAAAAGGGGCACATATCCTTACTACTGAAGAATTTACTTTCACTCATTAAATATTTTTTATTAGAGTGAGGTCTATTAATAATGGCCTAATTGAAATTTACACAGTTTTAGTAATTTAGTAGTGCAATACTTTAACAATAATATTAATGAATAAAAAATTATAATATTATAGTAGCCTAATATTATAGGCAAATCTATATATATAATTCTCTTCTTCGAGCCATTAGAAAACAAGCTGCAAACGCTCTCCCTACCTCCCCACCCCTACATGGTTTTAGTGAGCTGTGTTCACTCTAAATGTTTACAAGCAGAGCCAACGATTTTAAACGTAGGGGGGGGGGGGAGGAGGGGGGGAGGGAAGGAAGGGGGGGGGGGGGGGTTTATGGTCCTTAACGAGCTACTTATAGTGTTTTAAAGAAATATTTTCAGTGTCAGCGTTGGTACTGTCGAATTCACAAATTATGAATTATTGAAAATTAGAAACAACTAAATAGCGGCGTATGTTATGCCGCGGGCCGGCTCGTAGTAAATAAAGACTTATTTATTTAGCTGCATGTCAGTTAATGTAACAAAGTCACATGTAGGCCTAATCAAATGTGTATATTATATGGCCTAATACTACTAGATCTTATACTATACTAATAGTAGTCTATTGTCTATAGACTACTCTATATTATATTAGTATATAGTCTACTATAGAGTAATAGACTATAGAGTAGACATACAGTTAGAATAGATGTAGATTCTTCTTCTAGTGATGTTGTCAGTTGTTAAGGTCTATTTGTAATGAATTTCAATGCATTCTTATAATCTAGATTATAACATATGCTATGGTATGTAGATTTAGAATCTAAAATCTAGATGTAATAACTACAGTAATGATGTGTACATGCATGTAAAATAAACTAACCACTCGGTTAAAATAGCCTTCGCTCTCGTTATGAGCAGTCGACACATGAGAAGCATCTTGTGCAATATCAAATATCGTAGTCCGAAAAGCAGCATCCATTTGTGATTCGACTTGTTCTAGCAAACTATTTTATTTTATAATTCTCTTTAAACTCAACAAATAATTCAGCACATCTAGATCTAGTGATTATCCGTCAATAATAATCAAAATATAAATTTGCCTAAATCATTTTAACTTTTAAATTGAAAAACAATCAACTCAGAATGAGTAAAAGTAAAAAAGAAAATATGAAACGGATGCGGTAATCTCTACTAGCTACACAATAGCCCAGCTTCCATAATGTGCTCTACACGCTGAAGTATTTTTAACTTTGGCTCTGGCATCACTCCTGTGTTTACGTTCCCCATCTACGACTTTCAGGTTGCAGAAAACGTGTTGTGGGATTCCAGACAGTTCGTAACGTTCTCGCTTGGTGGAGTATGCTGATACCCCTGTTGTAATGCTAGTAGTGGGTAACTCCTCCTAACTATCGACATGTAAAGGAATGGCTCAAGATAATTATAGGGAAGTCATTTCTGTTGAATCTAGATCTACTATTAAAAGAGTAAGTTCAAATTTGTTTTAGATCTAAATAAATTTTCAAAATTAAATGTACATATATTTTTTAAAGATTAATTGAAGAGCCTAGTGTGTTTAGTACGAGACGATTTAATACGAAACTAAAAAAATTTATTATAAGGGTTATAGTTCAGAGTTGATGATGTGAGGGTCAAGACAGTTCACTACAATACTAACAATAATGAAAAACTGTTATCTCAATCAGCTGTTACACAAAATAATTGTTATCGTAGTGTGTGCCCAAATACATCTGACAAATGGAGAAATCCATCGGGCCAAATCAACACCACTTAAAAGCGTTAAGCGGGCCGAAGATTCGACACTTGGCTTGCGAGATTTTGACACTGTATCAGACGTGGCAAAGATGAATGAAGAAGGTTTACCAGTTCACGACGGAGGAGGGGAATCTATTCTTATACCTCGACAAACTTACGAGATTTGGATCTACTCAATTTTGGCGGCGATATTAGTTGGATTGAGTGGTATATTTCCATTATTGGTGATACCTCTAGAATCTGGACAAGCACTCAAGCATGGAGGTAAGATTAATTAACTAAACAATTTAATTAAAATACAATTAAAATTAGGCCTAAATCTGGCAAATTTAGATCTACTACTTACCTAGATCTAGATCGCTTATAGGCCCTAATCACTATTCATACTTTTTAGTTTAAAAAAATATCATAAAATAGATTTACATTTTTAAAATACTGTCTGATTTTGCTCTTTATGATTTTAATTTTGTCAGTGCATAATTTATAATTTGTATATGGGAAATTTAATGTCTTTTTTGTTGTAATTATTTAGAAATAATCCTAGTGCTTATATGGCAAGTGTGTTGTGACAGTGAATGGATTACACTTACAGTTTACACTTGCCATGTAGGTTCTACAAAAAAAAATGTTAAATACTTTATAAAAGCATATTAAAAAAATAATTTCAAAATATACCATTTTTAGAAGTAGATTCTAAATGGTAATCACACGCCTCTCTATGTTTTTAAAACCTAATTTCTTCACTTATTTTGTAGTTTAAAATGTTTTTGAAAATCAAAATAAAAAACTATCTATATTGATTGAGCTTTAAAAAAAATAATTGGGGAAGGGGAGATGAATTGTCATTTTTGGGAGGTTAGATGATGTGATTTGGGTAGGGGGTGTAAATCGTCCATAAAATAAATCATTTATAGAATTAGATGTTGTGGCGTCACTAGGGGCGGGGTGTTCTGCACCGGTTGGAGCTATTTTAGGGGTGAACCCAATTAGTAAAATTACAGTCAAAACAATGTTTTATCCAGTAAAAGTATTCAAAGGGGCGGGGGGGGGGGGGGTGACACCAAATCGGAAATGCAAAATTACTAGCGGTGTGGGGGTGACATCCTCAGTTATCGCACCAGGTGACACCCGACCTGTAACTTCTAAAATAAGACTTAGTATGTTTAATTTTAACTCACAATTACAGTGCAGGAAATAAGTATCATTTTACTATCCTGTCTAGTTTTAAATATCGACGTTATAATACACAGTGTCGGCACGCCATTAAAGTATTGAGCTAGTGAAGTTACTGTTGATCAGAGTTTCTTCCAGGCATCACTATGGGGGAGCTCCGCCCCCCCCCCCCCCCCCCCCGAAAAATTATCCTTCCGTTCTGACGCCCATTGACTGAAGGCTTCCTATAGCTACCTGGTAGACCTATACAGTAACAGAGAATCACAACACTTTCCGTTGTACAACATGTGAAACTATATTTTACTTACTGACTCGAAGAGCTGCTCTAGAAGTTGAATCTGTGCCGGGTGAAGTGAACTCCTCCTCCTTAGCTTGTTCATGTTGGCTTATCGTGTGTTGTCAGAGTCCAACACGAACCATCATACCAGCGTCTGTTGTACGACACACGTCATGGACCCGTGTTGAACACCGCTAGCTCAAGCCCCTAGCTCAAGTTCTCTTTATAGTTTTACACTCAAACAAAAAATGGAATCGGAATAGTTCTTTTCAAAGTTTCGTACAGCTTTACGGCGAGGGTTGTTGTCTAAATCATTCAAAATAAAAACCCGTTGATTGATTATTTGATTTATTCATGGGGTTTGTTCATTTGGTCGGACTCAACTTGGTACAATAGCCATTAAAAGCCTACACGCCCCTAATCAGATGTTATTAATTTTCTCAGCACAAACCACTTTATATTTGGTTGTAACGGGAGTGCGGTCTTAACGTAAACCAGCTTCAATATTTAAAAAAATAATTATTATAACCTGTATTTGGTCGGATGAAGTTTGACGAATACCGAAATGAGTGTCGTGGTTGTAAATATTGTCGTTGTCTAAGACAACTTGATGTATCCGTGGTTGAACTGACATTTGAACTAGTGGACTAGCAACTGAATAAAGAAAGTACGTGATATTTGTGTGTCTGCTGGCCTTATCGCGTGGAACATGGCTAAAGATGAATAAGTCTCACCATAGGTGTCATCCTTATCCTAATAGATGTAATTTATCTCCTAATAGATGTATTCTAACTCACAATACATGCAATGTATCTCCTAATATATGTAACCTCTATCCCTAAATGCAATGTGTCTCCCAATAGATGGATGTAATATCTCCCTAATGATATCACCTTGCCCATAGCTAGATGTAAGCTTATTTTGTCCTGGTGTAAATCGTATCATCGACCACCATGTTCTTACGTGAGGCCGGGGGTGGGGGTATAGTTTCTAACAGTACAAACATATTTAAAATTACTCTATTATCTTTCTGCTTTATTTTTGTTTTATAGAACAAAGTCGAGAGGGGGGGGGGACTAGAGCATACTGTTATAACAGTCAACAGAACACTAGCCGTTATTTCTGACAGAACACTAACCATTATTTCTAACAGCCAGGAAAGGGAACTCTACTATCTATATTTAGCATGGAACCATGTGCCACACGTTGAATTGTCCTAAAAATCTTTTAACTCTAGCTCAACTGGAATGGAGCGAGCTTTTAAAAAAATCTCATTTGAAATTGTGCATGTTTTAGTGTATGGGTCAGGTTGGGTGTGTATGTTGGGGGAGGGTGGGGAGAGAGCAACTATGTCCTCACAATGTCACACACACACACACACACCACACACATACACAGTCGTTGTTATCAAGTTGGTTTGTATAGTTTTCCTTATTTAAAAGGCATACAGCTTGAATTTGTTTTTGTTTTTTTTATACTTCTAACCTTACAGTTTAGTCAAATCCTCGGTCTTATTTATAGGTAGTAAGGTCTATAGATCCAAGGACAGGTCTATAGATCCAAGGACAGGTCAAGTGTAGTGAACCCTTCCTCGACCTATACAGCGTCATCGTGTTTTTAGTAGCGGGGTTTTCGGTCGGCTGACCACATAGAAAAATATCATCTGAAGCCATGAATGTTACTTGGGCCGTGTCGAGGCTATCACGATTGTAACACTGGCATCCACACAACTATTTTAAGTGTACATTCAGTGTTCGCTTGTTGAATGTGGACTACGGATTACTTCCCCAGACATTAGGCCACTGGTGAGGTACCGGTACCGGTACCTTGGTGGTCAACAATGTAACCAGTAGCTACAGTCAGGCGCATCAGCTTCAATAGACCGACTGATGAAAACGACCGTGTAATTACGATGTACATTGTGATAATATTGTCCTTAATATGTGGGGGCAGTAACCCTATCTGCAATGTTATGTTGATACTGTATGGTACAACATAGGACAGTTTGATAGTATAATACTGGGTGTTTGGTGGTACAATATGGGACAGTATGTGGCAGTTTTGTGGTAAAATATGGTAGAGAATGTGGAACAATATGTGGCAGTTTTGTTGTACAGTATGGGACAGTATGTGGCAGTTTTGTGGTAAAATATGGTAGAGTATTTGGAACAATATGTGGCAGTTTTGTGGTACAATATGGGACAGTATGTGGCAGTATTGACGTTTGATAGTACTATATTGGGTGTTTGGTGGTACAATATGGTACAGTACAGAACAGTTTGGTGGGACAGTACTGACGTTTAATGGTACAATATGGTACAGTAAGTGGCAGTTTTGTGATACACTATGGGATAGTTTGATGGTACAATATGGGACAGTATAAGGCAGTTTTGTGGTGCACTATGGTACAGTATGATGCAGTGATTACGACAAGTTGTGTATGTAGTCTACGTGTGAGTGAATCGATATGATCATAGTCTTAAAGTTAAGCGCTAAAATTTTGCATCTACAGAACAGATCGTGGGTACTGCACGCTAATGTATTATTTACACTATCTTCAAATGTCACCCGACTGATAGTTAGACCACTAGAAATGTCACCGGACTGATATTTAGACCACTAGAACTGAGATTTGCCCTGTCGTCTGTCATTACAGAAAGATACCATCTGGTAGAGTTAAACAGCTATATTTAAACATGCACTAGGCCCATCTGTTTGAGTCGAGTCTTAATCCCTCTAGGCTGCGCTGATTTCATTATTTCTAGTTAAAACAACAAATATTTTAATTTTGTGTTGCACGGGGAGGGGGGGGGGGTCAACATGTTGCAATGTGTAAACAGCTGGCCATTACAGAAACTTGTCGTCATAATTTCATTTTAATAAGATGGGGGGGGGGGGGGGTTAGCTAGCCCTAACCAGCATGCACTGCACGTGTCATGGGTGAGCCGCAGTGCCGGCACGTGTGTTTTAGCTACACACATTTGATAGGAACTAAATGATATCTCTTATGTTGTAGTTTTCACGTCTTGAACAGCAGAAACTACATCAAGTCAAACCAAATATATGCATTCGTATGTACATCTTCTGCGTCCTTTTTACTGTCAAGGTTTTTTTTACACAGTACTGTACCAAAAAAAAACAGACCCTCATGTTGCCAATTTTGAGTTTCGCCGCCCCACCCCTTAGGTTGCCACCCTTAGGTTCCGCCCCCCCCCCCCTCGAGTTACCGGGTTTCTCCTCCCCCCCCCCCTCCCCCTCTTCGTGTTACCATCCTCAGGTTCCGCCCCTCGTGTTAAGATCTTAAACGCACGCATCTTTTTTATTTTTTCTCAACACTCGTTCTAAAAAAACTGAATACCTACAAGCACTCCATCCACTCCAATCACTCCATCCACACTCCACAAATCCACTCCAATCAATCATTCACACACACTCCAATCACACACCACCACCACTGCCACCACCGGCCACGTGATTTGACATTCCTACTCACCAATAGCAGCCGAGCATGCGCGTGTGATCAGGTGTCTGACAGGCCGCCTCACCTGCGACTGAGACACCTGGGAACTACAGAACCTGTCGCTCCCATTGATCTTTCACGTGGGGAAATCAGCGGCTAGGGGGATCAGGTTTAAGTAATTGATACCATCAGCTGTCATCGATACCATCAGCTGTCATTGGCCCAGCCTTTCAGATCGTTTAGTCACCACGTGTCATACTTTCTAATGGTGTTGTCACACAGGTAGTTTTTGCTATCGTGTCCAAAGGTAGTTGTTGCTATTGTGTCCACAGGTAGTTGTCGCTATTGTATCCA